ATTTTATTTTATTTATAATTTTCAGTAATGCGCTTCAGCTATATTTTAAGATAAAATTTCATGGTGTTTTATTACCTGTCATGCAGGTCCAAAAGTAACAATAGTGTTTCTTTAAGATTTGTGTTGTTATAAGATGCCATCGTCTGACACTTCAGTCCAGGAAATAAATACATTGAATCTGCTTGATTGGCTTCGTTGGTTTTTAAATACGAACATACACTCAACACAGGACACATACATGTTGAACGTAATGAGGGGTTATGTCATGACGTAAGCAATCCTTGTTGAACTTGATGTCAAGATCCGTAATTTAGTTATATCATGTGTAATATAACAAAATTGTCAATAATACGTAAACGTAACGTTCATCCATTCACAGTGATATGTTAATAAACTTCAAGCACAATCTATAAGCTGTTAATCTCTATCCACAGCACAAGAAAGGCATTTCATTGTTTTTGGTAAGGCTATATACATTTTCCTATTTGATTTTGCATAATATGGTAGTGTCTTGTTACCCGATTTGAAAAAAAAAAAAAATTATAATCTATCAATCGCCATCCAAAACACAAGGGAGATGTTTTATTGGTTTTTGTAAGACTTTATCCATTTCCGATTTGACTTTGCAGATGAAATATGAACAAATCTGATTGCAAACTACGCTACGATAGACGTGTTGATAGAACTGAGGCCAATATCTGGAGCCAACACGGGGACCATCAGACTCGGATTACTTTTATGACAAGTTTATTACGTTTGTATAAAACTAACTTCAGCTTTACACGTCTATGATTTTATTAATTACAACAAAAACTGTTAAAATCTGGATTATTTCCTACCCACCATGATTTCCTACACTTATAATTATTTGAGTCTATTCAATATTTAATTTAAGTTTCAATATTAACGTGGATGTTTTAATCTTTGTTTGTGGATACTTTTTTAAAGGAAGAAAAAACTATTTGATATAAAAAGTATTTGGAGGTCCAAACGAAATATAAGAATCAAACTTAGCCTCGCATGAAGAGCATTTCCCAACGCCTGTTATTGGTCGCATCTTACGATAAGCCAGGAACAACTAACTGCTGATCTATTCTAACCCGGAAAACCGCACGGTAGTCCAATTTCAGGTGGAAGTTTTAGTTAGTTTTTGTTAAATTTAACTTATTTTGCTCAAGCCACCGAAATATTTTCTAATTTTTAAATACAATTCCTTTTTTACATACCTTCTTTTTTAAGTTTTAATACTACCTGCCATCTAGACAACGTATAGTTAAGTATCTGTTTTGTCATTTCCCCCCATCAATATTATCGAATAAAAAACAAAATGTGCAAAAAACGCAAGGAGAAGCGATTCTATTATCTTATCCAACTATTATAAATTCTTTTACATACATGTCAGTAGAGCTGGTCACGTAGATGATAACTACTTTAGTATCCAAAGTCAATGGTTTACCCTACAGGTGATTTCCTTAATTGAATAATACAATACACGTTCACAATGTGCAGACAATTTGTTTTAAACACTTGTACAGTACTTTTACGTTGTTTAAAGTTCTAAGGTATGTTTCTAAATAATTATAAGATCGTTCATCAGCCCCAAAATTATGTGTAGGCCATAACTATATTATCTACCCTTTCACATATATTTAGTTTTTAAACAAAGTTTGATTTGGACTAGTCTAATCTCGACCTTGTCATAAAATTCAGCTGTGGCTAACTTCCCTTTTTCCTATTTCAGTTCGTCTTTCTTCTTTGTCAAAGAGTTTAATCAACAAAACTAAACAACTAAAATTTGTAAAACAAATTTCATACGTGATTTTTGTCTGCTGCTTTAACAGTGTTATGAGAGTTCGCCATTTACTCATATCAACATTTGGCTCTGCTTGTCCTGGTTGATCCATTGTTTAGGCAAAACACGACCGCCCAGTTTGTCATTTCCATAATCTCTATAGCATCTCTATAGCACTCGATCAATGAAGCCTTAAAATGCTATAACATGTTGATGTAAAAAGGGAAACTTGGAATAATGTCTAATTTACCTAATAAAATATACCAGGTTCGTATTCGACTGGGCTTGATTAATAATTCCAATTATTAAGCGAATTAAAAAGTATATATAAAACCGAAGATAACGATACAACATTTTTACCCAATCCTTCTCACAATAGTTCTTCTGAGTATTATTATTTTTCTGTAAAAATATATATTACATCAGTAGGTCCTAGAGTGAATTTTTCGACACGAGCTCATGTGTAACGACCAAGAGCGAATCCAGGGTTGGCAAAGGAGCAAGGGTCAAAAGACACTTTGTCCATGTGATGAAAAATATTTTACTGCACCATTATCTAAGCTAACTAAATTACAAAACGATAATTTTAAAATTGTCCTTACTTGATAAATCGCCTTCCGTAAAATTATTTCTGCCTTGTTCTTGTTATTGGTTTACAAACAGCAGTTGCCGTTTGTGTTTTTAGAAGCTACACCTATTACCCCGCCAAAACAATGATAAATTTCAATTTGTTCAGATGTTTATAAAGGGTAAATGTTGAGGTTATTTTAGTGAAAAATACATTTTGACAAGACAATAAAACACAAAAACATTTTGATATGGATGCAATAATATTTTTATCAATCGGGACTATTTTCTTCAATATCAATGGAATTTTAGTCATACAATGTAGGCCTACAGTCATTCTTCACAAGGCGATTAATAATCTCTCAGAGAGTAAATTAATTTATTTGCAATAATTCATGTATTGACTGACAGCAGCTGTTTTCACTGCAGAATAAAACAAATTATAGCTAAAAAGAAACAGCTGGAATAAAGAAAATCAGCTCTACATTTTTATGGCTCAATTCATCACTGATTTTTTCAAAGAAAGTAGTTCCGATTGATACAAATTGAATTGCATTGTTATCGAAATGTTTTTGAGTTTATTTCGTGCCACATTGTTTGTTATACGATATAGTATGAATATTTATACCCTTTATTAAAGTTTATACAAACTTTTCCTTGATTATTGTATAAGTGGATTTATACGTTTTGCTTCAAAATAACTAACATCTGTTTGTATGTGATAGCTAAGCAAGATATTTAAAGACGACCGAGTTTTATGTATAATTTCTATTATGTAGGAAAAGTTTGTATTTTAGTAAATTTAGTCCTAAGAGACAAATGATGTTTTGGTAACTTCTATAGCTCTGCCTCTACTTATTTTGTCATGGACTGCTATATTTAAGGTCTGCTAAACACATTGAGTACTTTTATATTCATGTCCAGTATGGAGTGCCAGCGCAATGATAACTATTTCAAAAATGCTTGCACTTTTGATTTCTTGCATTTTTGAAATAGTTATTTGAAGTGTTTTTTTCTGGATTTTAATTTTACAAAAACAGTCTGCAGGCGACATAAACTAACAACTCGATACATTATAACCTAAACTTTAACTTACCTAATCTAACCTACCTTCAAAGGACTGAATGCAGTCACCAATTCACATAAAGCACGACCTACCACCCTCACATACCTTTTTTGACATTAAAAGGAGTTTGCTTGCATTCTAGAGGTTTGGTTAGGTTAGATTATGTTAGAATAGCACCATTTTATTATGTAATTTCCAAACGGCGAAATATAAATCAATAAATCATTAAAAAGGATAAAATACTGGTAACAATAATAGGTACATTTTATTAAATGCATTAACTTATTGTTCTTAGTGTAACTTAATCAGGTGATTTTCATATTGCAGAATCAGAGGTAGCCTAGCTAATTAAAGTTGTCACTTCCATCTGCTTGACTATGATTGAAAACAATCAGCTGTTGGCTTACTTAACCCATAGTTCAATCCACTTGTAAATGTCATCCATCGTACCTTGTTTATTGTAATGTTGTATATTATTACGGCGAAATCTTGAAAAATATCCATCAGCAGTGAAAAATAATGGTATATTTGGATTCAGGAGGTAAAAAACTATAAAGTAAGATATCAAAATTAAAATTTCGTTTGGAGGCACCTATACGGAATAATTACCTAATTATTAGTAAGCAAGAAAATTTATAAAAAAAAACCTTTTTAAAATTCCCAAATTATTCTTATGGAGATTAATTAAACTGTTTTAGTTTGCTTGTCAATAAGTATAGATATAGATATTTGATCAAATAAATGTACTGTATATATTTTATATACTATGCTAAAAACATTTGACTAAAAACACACTTTATTATTCATCAAATAAAATGATTACCTTATCCAACCACAGTTGTTGGTGAGATGACTAGTTTCGTTCCTTAGAACTTCATCAGGTCATTTTGTATGCAAATGCAACCAAATCATCAATGTATGAATACATTGTGTTATGTCAATAGATTCTTTAAAAAACTGCCACAATCACGATTATTATTGAAAATTGTCATGTTGATAAAATAGTTAAAATGGAAGACAAATTGATAAAACTGATCAAAACTGTACTAGCTGGTCAGCACTGTCTATCACTGCCATTGACTAAATAAAACTTACATAATCATGATGTTTCTTCTTCTCTCAAATGCCATCTGTATTTAAGTTTTTTTTTTTTTTTTTTTTTTTTTTTTTTTTTTTTTTATTATTATTTTATACCTCTTTGATTAGTAAATTGTCAACAAACTGACAAGCTTAGACTGCAGGTTTGCTGTGGCAGGGTATTTTTTACTTTTCAAGCTTGAATACTAAGTATATCATAAAAAAAGAATGGCACATGGAAAATTTATGTTTTTACCTTTATACTTATTTTAAAGTTTGAGCAAGGTCTTTTCCCAAACAATGAAATGTATATAGAAGCTTCAGTCATTCTTTTGGAAAGCCTTGGATTCCTTCCAATTTCATCTCATCCTTGTTGGGTTGAATTATAAAGTTTTACCGATATCCTTTTGTCATAAAAGGATATTTTTACACAGACATGATTTCACTAATATTAATACTAACAGTTAATTATTAACAGGGAAATAAAGGGAGTAGGAATTAAAAATTAAAAATCAACTTTATTTATCAACATAATGCACATTATTGTAAATACGAATACGATTTGGAATGAGAAACCACTGATTAATCGTAACCTGGTAATCAACACTTAGCTTGGGTAAAGTAACATTGATACCGGGGTGTAGCGTACAAAATATAGCATGATCTAGCTACAAATAAACACGAGAACCTTCTGAACAGCCTCCTAGAAAACTCGACGATTATTGTTTCGACTCCGAGATATAACAAACTTTTAAAAATAGATTAACAATCAACATCGGAAACATTTCATTAAACTTATAAACATTATTAGTTTACAATAGTAGGTCTACAATTTTGAAATTACATAACCGTCTATGTAAAAACGGATATAAGACAGCAAACGATAATAACTAACGAATAATATCGATACATAATGCCAGTCTTATACATATTATACAAGGTCGATAAAATAATTACTTACTCCCAAGAATTTGTGAACAAAAAGTATTTTGTGACAGTATAAAAGAGAAAATGTACAGTTCTATGATACAAATAAAATTACATTTTTACAAGGACGTCATAAATAAAGTCACCTTTAACTAAATGCTTATCAGACTTCTACATACACAAATAATTACAGAAAACTCTCTCAGGATCCAGTAAACACAAGGCAACGTTATAACTGAATGCGGGTATGTAATTTTTGTGACAAAATATGTTTCTTTATTAAAAATATTTTTACATAGGCCGTCCACCTTCCCACTGAGCGTCCAACTAGACTACAGCTTATGTACATACATACACAGTCCTGGAGAGCGGCATGTCAAATAACAAAAACAAACAGCTATTTTACAATAAGAAAGGAAATACCGCTCGGTGCCAGAACTGTTCATTGTGCCTGGGAGGCTGCGGACGAATCTTGTCTAAGATAACATGAGATCAATACACTTACTGAACATACATTAGATCACAACGTGATTGAGAGTACACAGTTCTTGCTTATTGTTCTTATAATAATACATGAAAATATCATCCTCGCGATTTGGCACGTTCTGTAACAACTATACGTTCAGAAATAATCAATAATCTTTTTTTTACTAAACTATATACCGTTGTAATTTTTAAAAACATCTTTGTAAACTATATTGTAAATGTAGTAAAGAGTAACTAAACTAACTATAACCAAACAAATTTAACTATGTAATTAACTTTCATTACATACCTGATATTATAAAAAATACTGTTGATCATTTTGTTCAAAAAACTTAAGCAAACTTAACATCACACAAAGAAACCACTTAAAATACGTAGGAAAACACACAAATCGATACCTAAGAAATAACATTGAAAAAGAAGCTTACATCGAAAATCACACTGAGTATTATAGTGGAAAAAGACTACAAAATTGTCCACTTTGGTACCACAGACATACATACAACTGATGGAATGAAATTTTCATGTATTACACTTAAAAAGAATAATTTTGGAATATCCTTAACAATAGATTGTGTAATCGAGTATAAAAATGGGATTGAGCTGTTGTATGTATCGAGTCCTATGTACACTACTTTGGTACGATTCACTTCGACTAGTCCGTGTTCAATACACCACTCTCGGTTGTAGAAAATATATTTTGGCAACACTGTCACAACGATGACCAAATGTGGCTCTAAATGAGTCCTCACAGCACATTTCTACGTTGTCGCGACAACACTAGGGGCTTTGGAAGACGAATCTGCTTTTTACATTAAGTTTATATGAGGGAGGTTTGAAAATTTGTTAAACTTTAAACTATTCAAGTTGCTAGAGAGAGAATGAGTTCAGATGATTTGATATGTACATGGCTTTGAAGGTGGATGAAGTAAAATTTGGGTTGAAGACCAGTAGGTCCAGAATTATCAAATCATTTTGATTTTTATTGTACTGTTAACTTTTCTAGCAGTAAGAACATTACTACTGGAAAATGTTTTATCTCAAAAGAACAACACCATTGAATACATTATATCTTCAAACAAAATATAAAAGGATTGTAGTAACCCAACAAATATTTATCTGAATTAATTACGTTGAGTTATCATCAATATAGAAAAGTTGATGGATGAATCGGAGGATTTTGGATCACTTTGGATGTTCTAGTTTACAAAAAAATGCAAAGTATCCAGAGTGAATTAGATCGTTTCCAAAAACCTCAGATATCTAGATTATCATTGTGATAGTATGGTGATCAAACGACGGGATAGTTTGGGACGAAAAACTTACAAGTAAAAATCGCAGATTCTTCGATCCCCTCAGTATTGCCGTGGTCAACGAACAGTGGTCATGTGTCACACGAGGTGCCCCTCTGTCTCGATGGAGTTGGCATAACTGAAGGTGGAGAGTAGTGGAGGCGGGGCGCTGAGCACCGTCACGTCAGGTGGGGGGACGGGGGTACGAAGGGGGGGCTGGGCGAACTGCACTGGTGGGGGGTACGCCACGTAGCGGGGGTCGGGGGAAACATTGTAGTACGCCGACGGGTCCATGGGCTGCCCACCTGCAAACAAACATTGTTTTAAATTATTAAAATTTGTATCTTTTTTATACCTATTTAACTTGAAATATTGGTGGGAAAAAAGGCAAAACCTGAATAATAATACACCACATGATGGTTTCATTTCTATGGAACTTTAACTAGTTTGACTGTTGGTAATCATGGAAACTGAAACTGACCAAGGTCACAGAAAAAGTAAAGTACAGAGTAAAAATTCAATGTTGACTCGTGTTTGAAGCAAAGTTCAACATTGATACTTCTCCGAACCCCCCTCGACATCATGTATACTAGTACGCTGGAGGAAGGAGCCGTGTGATAGGAACATCCGCACAGTGCCTGCTGCTTGGGTTCTTCCTTGCTCGTGTCTAGTGTTAAAAAGAATAATTATGTTCTATTTCTACTTTTTCAAGACTTAAAGAAGTAAAGTGTAGACATTTAAGTAATGAACTAGATCTTGCCAAGGTTTATTGAGAGAGTAAAAATTATAACCAAATCACATTATATAATGTAGATGAGGCTTTTACTTCTTATAATAGGGATCAATCTAAATGCTGTAGAGTATTTAAAAATTACACAGCTTTTTAGTCTCCTTCAATTTATATTTTATTGTTTTCTGCATCGTTTATCAACTTGTTAAATTGTTAAGTTGTTAAAGTTGTTGAATTGACAAGTTATTTGTTGGAAATGTGATATTTATTTATTTCCAGAATGTTTATTGTGACAGCCTAATCTGTGGTATCAGTGTTAAGCCTGTCTTGTTGTAACGCTCCGCAGGCAGCCCAGTTAATCTATTGTGTAATTGCCTAGCTTAGTACCAATACCCCGAGGCCCTACACCCTGCATCACCTCAGTAATTACGCTCATATAAGTCCTCAGTCCTCCACCCAATTATGGATTATGGATGAGACGTCTGTTCCTTGATTGGTTCAGTTATTTCAATAATTTCTTCTTTTTTGTAAAGCGGCAAATAGATAACCCTTCACAAGTGTCTTTTGAAAGTGATTTTGAAACACCATCGGTGACAATAGAAGGTTTTTCGGGTATTGAAATATTAGTAGGTAGTAGGTGGGAGGGAGGAGAGTGAAGTGAAGTTCAATAGGTTCCCAGAAAGAGGCCTGAAAAGTACGGTTACTCTTGAAAATGCATAATATTCTAAAAAAAAAATGCCTCCAGAGGAAAACTCTATTATGACCTAAGAACGTGTTTTAATAGAGTCAATAAAATAGTGTTGACAAGAAACATATTAAGATTATTATTATCATTTAAATAAATTTGTATTAATTGGAGAAACTTGTGGAAATTGTTGACTATGTTTTACTAGGTAATGAAGAAATTTGATATCATTAAAATGTTTTTAAGAGTTGCGGAAAAATATTTATAAATGTAAGTACAGCATGCAATATGAAGTTAATACTTTTTAAATTTATACACACCATAATCGATGGACTGGCCATTGTGGGTTGCGTAAGCGTTGCGGTGAAGCCCAATGGTCTCCGCCTCCTTGATCTGATGTTGCATCTCGTAGCCTGGGTATTGGAACGGATACTCAATCTGTTCTATCAAGTAGGTACTGGCAGCAGCTTTCCTAGAGTCCTCCTGTTAAACCAGGGATTCTATTAACATTTTATCAATGGAAGTTTTAAAATAATTTAATTTAAAGTAATCGTTAAAAGTTAGAGATAAAGTTGAAGTTAGAATATAGTGTAAAGTTATAATCTTATAGATGTTAAAAACAAGAGTTAGAAACTCATTGATATTAACTGTAAGTGCTAGAAACTCAAATATGTTAATTATAAGAGTTTAAAACTAAGAGATATTAACTAAGAGTTCAAAACTGAAAGATATTAACTAAAAGGTTAGAAAAGCAGATATGTTAACTATAAGAGTTAGAAACGCAGATCTCATTGATATTAGAGTTAGAAACTCAGATTTGTTAACTATGAGTGTTAGAAACTCAAATATGTTAACTATAAGAGTTAGAAACTCAGAGATGTTAAATACAAGAGATAGAAACTCAGAGATCTTAACTATAAAAGTTAAAAACTCAGAAATCTAAACTACAAGAGACTGAAACTCAGAAATGTTAACGACAACAGTTATCCAGCTCACCGTATACTCAGCATTGCTATCCGAGTAACTCTCGCTCTTCTCACTGACGGAGCTCAACGTTTCTCCTGTCACGGTCTCGTTGTAACTGCTCGGAGCGTACATCTCTATTGTGGCTGACTTGCTGCTACTCTGCTCACTCACGCCTGTCAACATTAATGTTAATTAGTCGTCTGCTAGAGAATAATCTACTTGGGGTTTGTGGATTTGTTAGATTTTAAATTGTAACAAGTAAGATATGGATCATATTTTCATTGTATGGTGGGGACTAACTCTTTTGTATATTGTGAAAAATTTGGTTTTTTACTATTCATAATCAAGTATTAAGTACCAATATTGCAGATATATTGTATTAATGTATACATTTATCTTGAATGATGTAGTATGAATTAATTTTCCAGACTTCATAAACCAAAATTCACATTGTTTTCATTAGCTCAGAAAGGTTTTATAATTTTGATAATTTGAGTTTTTAAGCAAAATTTTTTAGATTGTTGGAATTGAATGCTATTCACTAAATTTAGAGATTTGTTAATATATAATGTAACATTTAATATAATCTTGAAATATGTTGAAGCTTTAGTGTGCTAACATACCAAGTACTAAATTACCACTAAACTGAACTATGTCAATGCTATAACTCAACTACATAGTCTTTTATCACTACACAAGAAAATCTACTTTGTTCAGAGACAAGCACATTAAATTGGTTAAAAATTTAATAATTAAAAGTTTCTCTCTTCTTAACCAACAAAAGGTCGCATTATTGGGTTTCTCCAAGTATTTGGTTAGTTGGGCAACCTAAGAGCAACTCTATTAATAAACAATGGCAGAACGTGTGGTTACTGTGGTTCTCGCTGAAAGCTCGCTGTCTTGATTAACTATGTATAACCAATCCTTTGGGAATGTCCAGCTCTAGCCACTCTACTAGAGCTACCTTTACTTTATTAAGGCAAAACATTGCATTCGTATCCCTAGTTTCTCATAAACGTAAATTTTTATTCTGATTGATCAGGGTGGGGTTTAATTTTCTCTGTTTGAAATGAGGGTATTGTTACGTTTAAGAAAGCCAATAAAAATAAAAAAAAAATACAATAAGACAGCAAGTGTAAGATGGGAAAACAAAATGTCCATTCTTTTTTTTCATTGTATAAAATAAGTTAAATATTTTATCAGATGAATATATTAACACACATTAATAGGCGATTTATAGAGCCATGTGAGAATGGTTAGTTAATTTAGCTGAAACCATTAAATCAATTTATAATAAAGTTTAGGGAAATGTTTGGATGGCCAATAAATGAAATTTTAAATCAAATGATAAATATGACAGGATAAATTTATTTGTATTCTCATACGACGCCTCTCTCTTATAATTTTCCATTCTGTGAATCTTATTCAACATTCTGCCTCATTTAAAAATGGTTGTATTTAAATTAAATATTTTAATAAAAATAAATTTTAATCTTGCAAATGGGAGTGATTAGTACATACTTTAAACTAAAGTATAAACAAAATTTAAATGGTATACACTGACTAACAGAACACACTTATAATAAATGATCCAACAGTATCATTGTGTTTCCCAAGCCCAATGGAATGAGGGTAACATTTTGTAATTATTTTAACCCAAATATGAATACCTATATTTCTAATTATTACAGTAGAACCTCAATAACAAGTCTCAAATGGTCATCAAATAAGACTTGTGATCAAGGTAGACTTCTTATCAAGGTTTAAAATGACATGTGATTGAGGGTAAAACAAAATCAAGAGTCTTAAAAAAACAAAAGTTATCAAGGACCACTTGATACTAGAGTTTTGCAATAGAGGTTTCACTGTAAAATAGATATTAACCTGAACTCTCGATGCCCGACCGTCTCCGTTTGCGATACACAAAGCAGGCGACCAATGCCACATTGAGTAGTAGTAGCACAGCTCCGGTGGAGGCCAGAGCCAATGTGAGAACTAACGGAAGATCTGACGCCAGAGCAACTCCATCAGGTAGATCTACGAACGTAACAAACATAACTAACCTGTGACTCGCTTGGCCGCTCGTCTCCGCAGACAGCAAGCACCCAGGAGTACATTGACAAGCAGAAGAGTAGCCCCAACTACGGCACCCACCACCAGCACCATGTTGGCCCCCGCTGGAGCCCCGTCTTTGCCCCGCGAGGCCACAGAGAGCGGAGCTACACCTGCCCCACACCCACAGCGGTTAGTACAGCGTTAGTAAGCAGGGTACACCACCATGTAATGTGTGTCACTAATTTGATTTTTATAGACTTTTTGTATTTGGTAGACTTGATTTGGAGAATTATCCGGGTGAAACAAGTATTGGATATTATTTGTAACACTGTTTGAATTATTAAATTGTAAATGTAGGAGCTGTGTGTCACAATTTAAATTTTTAATTTTGGCCATTATTATTTTTATTTGGTAGAGTTTAGGGTTTTACTTGGATGAACATTTATTTTTTTAAAACTGTTTGATTATTTTGTATGAAATAATACATTTAAAAATTTAATAATTACTGGAGTCGGTGTTTGTAAACACAATGGAAAAGCGATATGCTTTTATTTTTACACATTTAGATATGAAAATAATAAATTTGATTTAAAAATAGATGAGTTCCAGATATAGATAGTATAGATAGTAGTTAACAAGTTTTTTAAGTCTTGAAATATTTAACTTTGAATGTCTCTTGCAGAGAATATGTTCTTGTATTATTAACATTTGACAGTACAAATTATAAATATGTACAACTTGTTTTTTTTTTACTAATAGTAGTATATGTTATTCAATATCAAATATAAAAAAAATCTATTAAAAACCTATTAATAAAACGCAAAATATTAAGAAAATAAAAGTAAAACTTTTTTTCTAACTTCTGGGAGTTACTTCATATTAATATATTTTTCATGTGTAGCCACATTATAAAGGTAAGTTAGCATGTCTTTGCTTAATAATTAAAACTATTAATATATAGATTGTCATGTTATTCTTTCAAGTGTAATTTATTTCTATAGTGAAAATGTATTTTGGCGATGTACCCATACACCCTAAACAGGGAGACGGATGAAAATATGAATATTTATAAGCATATTACATTCAAAGCATTGCCTTGGAGGAGACAGTTTGTTAATAAGTTCCATGTTACTGAATGATGTCGAGCTAGATTCTGACTGACATGCAAGAATACTTTATACATGTTTATGACTTAGCAAGCATTACGTTCTAGTTTGCAGGCATACCGGTAACTAAAAATAATATCTTCTTAATTTTATAGTTTATATTTATAGTAAAGATTTCTAAACATACATAGTCACTTTGCAACAATTAATCAAAAAAATATTTGTAACTATAATTTTAGATACATTTTAGTAAAAAGTGGAGTTTAGTAGGCCTATATTTATTTTAGTAATTTTAGTATATTTTATTTAAGTATATTTATTAGATTAATGTCCATAATACCTGTTGTAAAAAACCAAGGTTATAATATAAACTAACTTTGTTGCTTGTGGTAACATGTAAAGTGATACACTTGAGCATACTAGTAAAATATCAAGTTAAATTAAAAACTGTCCAATATTGATTTGTCAAAAAGTACAACAAATCATCAAATAAACTTGTTAATTGAACAAAAATCCCTAATAGAAACTGTCAAATATTTAACAGGTAAATTAAAACCGTTGGGAACATTGAATGAACATGATTTAACTGATTCCCATGGAGAGTGATGTATATTTGATTACTCTGTGGACAGTTTAAATTATATTTAATAGAAATGCCTTCATTGAGAGAAGCGTGCAATATTGTATTATTTGTGAGAGTAATCCAACATCGGCTGTCCAATGGCGGATTACGCCACAGATTGCTACTTCAGATGGATTCAATTCCACCCACAATCCCCCACGAGCCTACAACTGCTTACGATTCCATTATTGGACTTACCCCGATATTCCGCCCATTATAATAACCAATCAAGACTGTTTTTGGTTTGCGGATCTAAGCTAAAAGTGTCAGAAACTGGTATATATTTTCTTTTCATCTGTTTAAACAATATTTTTTCATATATGGTTATGAATTCGTATTTTAACAATATTTTTTACCACCAGAATGACCGGTAGAATATTAATTTAAAGATTTTTGTTTCATAATTACATTTTACAGTTAATTATATTTTAACACGATGATTATTATAGAATTTTTTGTTATTCATATTAACAGAAACAGTTCTTATTAGGAGGATATGCTAAGATGATGTATTAGTACCTATTTTAGTTAGGCTAAATAAACATTCAAATACAAACACTTGTCATGCCAAGGCCATGCTGCTTGCACAAGACAATACATGCAGCATAATACAGTCATGCTTAATAGAACATAATGTATATAATGTATATAAAACATTTGATGTAATAAAATAAAAATACACATTCAGTTACCTATTGTTAATAAAAATATTCAGGTAAAACTTTGTGTTTGAAATATAAACTTATTAAAATAATTAGAATTGGTAAAATTTCTATGCGTCTAACTAAGTTGTGATTTTAAAAAGGTTCATAATAAAATAACATTTACCCTCTTATTAACACCCAGTATAAATAATATTTGCTTTATACCTAAGGCAGGTTCATAGGTTTGTTGATGTGATCAAGAAAAACATTTGGTTTTTAAAATTGTGAATGCTGAACACAAAATTAGAGATTTTATGGTTGTCCTTGCAAATATATAAACTTAAAATCTTCATAAATAAATCAATTAATAATTTATTAATAAGGATAAACAGGATACATAATCTAATGAATTGAGCAGTTTCAATACCTTGAAACCAAATAGTGAATAATAAAATGTAGTAGGCTGGATTAAACAGTCATATGAAACATTATCTACAATTTAAAATAAAATAAAACAATTTTTACTTTTTATACTTTTTCTGGGGTACAAACTCTTAAAGACTTCCTTCCAATTGTTCGATCAAGTTATTCTAAGACAGTTATAATAATTATTTACTCATTACTACTTGAGAAATACAAAACGAGCACACAATGGCTATGCTGGTTTTGGTGTCATACAACTGCAAACATTAATATCAAAACAATATAACTACTTGTAATCATTTACTAGTCTCTGTACTCACTCGAGGTAGTGACTTTGAAGGTGTCAGGCATGTACTTGCTGATGCCGAGGTGGTTGGACGCCATCACACTGAAGCGATATTCTGTGCCCAGCTGTAGACCACGGACTACCCAGGTAGTGGCATTACCCGTGTCCTGCAATACAACATAGAAGAGATATAAAACTGTTGATAAAATCAACACATAGACACAATACTAAGTACTTTAATCTGAATGAGAGTAAAATAATGTGCTTAGAGTGGAGTGAGATGCCTTGTGACAAAAATCTGCTGTTTCCTTAGCCCAATGATAAACAAATATCCACTTAGCTATTATATTCAGGTAGCACAGTGAAGGATTTAACTTTTCATTGTAAAAAGGAACAGTTTCTATCCTAATAAAGAAATACAAGTTTTATTCTTTGATTATTTGTGGGTATATTTATTTATGTCATAGTGTTCGTTGAAGTGATGTGGTTCTTTCAAGGCGCAATTATGCAACAATTATTCAAGTGGTCAAGAATTTTTTTTTTAAGTAATAATTTTCTGTAGGACTATAAATGCATTTTTTATTGCTAAATTAGTGAATATGCCGTAAAATTCAGCAAAAAAGTACACATGATCTTTTAACAAGATAATAATCGATACTAGAGGTACTTTTTGAATTTCTAACTGATTGTTTACATATAAAATTGAAAATTGCTAGCTAGTATGAAGTTTGAAGTACCTCATAGTGGTAGTTAGTATTGGGTTGTTGCAGAGGTTTGTAGCGTATCCTGTAAGATGCTGGCAGACCACCGTCAAACCCAGGAGTCCATTGTAGGGTTACAGAGTCATGAGTGATGTTCAACACTTGCAGGTTGTACGGAGGCTCTGGTGCCGAAGTCACGGAGAGCTTCACCTCAGACGTGGCGAACCCTAATTCGTTCCTCGCCAGACACTCGTACCTTCCATAGTCAGAGAGTTCCACGTTTCGAACAGACAGGACGGACTCGTAAGTCACTTCGTCAATCTGAAAAATGAGATAAAGTTGTGTGGAAATCAATAAACAGTTAAAAATCATTCTGAAAAATTATAAAGAATATTTTACCACTGTTTTTAATGTTTTTTTATGTTATCTACAACTTCTACTATTGATTATTTATTGAGTATCAAGAAAACTAGAACTATATTGATAAATCCACAAAGTAGCAAGTAAAAAAGTTGCTCTTCCTAATAAATCGAAATCATGAAATGGACATTGAGTCACATTATCCACTCAAACCTATAATGTCCAAATTTTAAAACCCCTATTGATATTAAAACTTCCTGATAGAAAAAAGTTAGGTTGTCACTTGGAACAAAAAGTTAATTAGACTATGAGCTTACCGTGTTGTACTCGAAGGTGTATTTCTGCGGAGTTTCCAATGGTATTGCTTCTCCATTTCTCCGCCAGGTAAAATTCAGAGCAGGTGCGCCACTACCACGACACACCAGTCTACCAGTGTCGCCACTGTTGCTGGCAGCTTTGGCTAGATGTGGGGCAAGATCCATCTCTGGTTTGTCTGTTGGAAGAATTTAATTAAATTATACCCATTGTTAACACAAAATATTTGCGAACTAAAATACTTTATGTTTCTAGCAAGCAAATTTTAATGGAGTCTAAAAGTGAAAAGTAATTTAAAATATTTAAGGTTAGCTTATTCAAATTCCTACTTACGTTTGACAATGAGAAAAGCATCTTTGGAAGTTTGGTTGCTAAGTCCGTTGTTCGCCACACAGTAGAACGTTCCAATGTCCTCCTTGGTTGGATGGTTGATGATGAGGTACGAAGTATTGTTCTTGAACGACATCTCTGTTCTTCCTGCGATGTTGTAGTTGTCTCGTTTCCATGTGACGTGTACACCAGACAAGGGATGCCCTTCCACATGGCACCACAGCTGCGCTACTTCATCTTCCCCCACCACTACTTTGTCACTGACTGCCACCACGGTTGCTGGATCTGGAGGTAAAGTGTTATTTACTACAGGCTTAGCTTAGTGTAAGCATTGAACCTTTATGATTCTTTTAGGAATACCCGATCAGACAATTGTTTGTCATGAGCAAAATTGTCAATTTGGAAAAAATTGTTTCAATCCTCAGTGAAATATTTGCACAACACTATGTGTAAGGTATACTAAGAGGACACAGTGCTCTCTAAAGAATCAAAACATCCTAATTTTGATCCTGGAGAAAGTCAATAAGCAGTTTAAATAGTACTGCTATGTACCATGTTATTTGAAGGTTGCTGGTTTTATACCCAAGATGGGTATGGGCTACCGTACCGGTTTCGACAGTACCTACACTAAGTTAAATCTCTTAAAGGTACAAACTGCCATTGTCATTAAAACACTCAATAAAAAAAAATGAGAAAACCCATTACAGTAGAACCCCTCATATCCGGCCTTGGTTTTACCGGTCCTCTGTTTATGTGGCCCCTTCCAAGAAGCCAATATCAAAATGTTTTTTCTCACAGCTTACAGACGTTTAGATGCAAGCACTAGTCTTTGTGACCGCTCATGTCATAAAATAAATTGTTCTCTTTACTTATCTGTTTGTATATACATTTATTTGCTGAGTCACTATACTCAGTTGAGCTAGGAGGCCTACTGATCAGTTGGTTGATTATTTCCAAAGTGGGGTTAGTACAGTACAGTACATTAATTTTTGTATTTCACAAAATGGATAAGAATGTTGAGTAGAAATGCATGTACCATTTAAGTCCTAATGATCTTCAAGTACAATTTATTGTCGTTTTTACCTCCATTTAATAGGTTTTGTTACCTGAAATCATAATATTTGTACATTCATTACTTAATGACTTTAACCTAGAAATATTTTTTTCCTTTTTACAAACATGTTTATTTTTCTAAAAATGGTCCCAGAACAGAGTTAAATGATACTTTTGATTGCATATATTAATTACCTATTATTATTAGGTATGAATTGTCATTTTCATAATAGGTTGGTTTATCCGGCCAAATCGATATCCGGCCAGGGGCTTGGTCCCGTGGTGGCCGGATATGAGGGGTTCTACTGAATTATTATTTCTTAACCAAGTCAATCAACAAGTAACGGTTTATACTCACATTGTACAGATATGGTGATGGAAACTGATGTGGCTCCCTCACTGTTGACAGCTTCACAAGTGTATACCCCTGCGTCGGACCTGTTGAGACGGGTGAAGTTGAGCAAGGGGCCCTCCACGTGTAGATGGGGCCCGGGGCTCAGCGGGGCCTTGTCCTTGGTCCAGGTATAGCTGATGGTGGAGGGCCGGCCTGTGGCTTGTGGTGCGACCAATAAACTGTCACCCTCCACACCTGACAGCTCCCTCTCTGGCAGCTCATTGAACACGGGCTTGTCTGCAAACAAACGGTAGAAATATTTAAAAAATGTCCCAATAAGACATTGTTTGTGTCAAAATGGTTTAATCTGCATGTTCATAACTAAAACCAGCGTCAAAACCTTAGTGGTAGAAAAAAAATTTTTTTTTACTAGTGCCTATACCTTAAACGGCATAAATGGTGACAAATAATAAGTTTACTAAAATCACTTTATATAATAATAATAATCCATTTGACAGAAACATTACTACTAACTATTTTAAAGAATATATAGACAGTTAACAGAGTATTTGATCAAATTATTGGGTGCTAAAATAGATGACTTTTATGTGCTACTGTATGTTCAAGTGAAGTAAATATGTCTAATGGAAATGGGTACATATTTTAGATGTAATATAATTATTGAATGTACTGTATTCTCAAAGGATAATAATTTAATTTAATCTACCAATAAACCTATTTATTACTCTTATAAGCACAGCCACAATATTAAATATCTGTCCAATTGAACCTTTAATAAATCATGGATTAAATTGACAATAATCAGCAATAAATAAATAATTATCAATGATGGTTACAAAAATCATTCAATAATAGAGTTTACAATGTGTAAGAAATATATTAACTGTTTCATTAAAATATGTTCAAATAAAACCAGTTTAGAGTCATATAATCATTTCAACAAAGAAAATAAATTTGTAACAATGTTTCTAGCAGCCAACCCTCATGCATAAATCAGAAAAGTTTGGAACTACCAACATGCAAAGTGTCAGGGTTAGTTTGCTTTATGTTGAAACAAACTGGGAAATGAAAGTTTATCTTGTTTAATTAAAATTATGCATTAATTATGTTTAAGGTATGTCAAAAGATAACTTAAACAAAAAACATGAATTAATTTCTGGACTTACCTTGCCAAAAATAACTTCTGTCTGTATAGTTTACACCACTTACATTTATAGTTGAATATTTATTCTTTGAGCTAATACATTTTACTCTCAATAATTGCTGCCTTTAAACCAGTAAGTTTTTGAAAACAAGACATACCAGGTTTACGGTACTTCAAATTCAAAAACCGATAGGAGAGTAGTAGTTAGAGTCAAAAAATGTTTCAGTACGGTCTTATCTTTTACCTTCTCTTAACATAATTAAGAATACTTGACATATTGACTCACATAGAATGTTCATGGTTACAGCATCATGCACGCTCCTCTGCAGCGCAAGGTTCATAGCTTGACACGTATAGACTTGTCCGTCCATCTCTGGGGTGATGTTGAGCTTCAATTGCATGCTGGAGAATGTTCCCCTGCAACAAACAATTTTCCTATACTATATCCTAACAACTAAGCAAATAATTTGACTAAAACAGAACTATATACATTACAATCCTAGTTCCAATTAAAAAAATGCATCTACTTCATGCTCTATGTAATCCACTTCAGAATCCTAACGTCAATGGCTAAATTGAATTGTTATCCTTTCTTTGAGTGTGCAGTCCTTATTAGATACTTAATAGAAATTCTTCCTCTAAAGTATTTATAAACATCACCTACCTATGCAGACCAGGTTTGGAGGAGTTTGTGATTCCCTCAGATATCGGTATACCGTCGCGCCACCACGTCATCTGTGCTGGAGGATTGCTGGATGCCGCATCACATGTCAAAGTTGCAGTGGTTCCGGCCCGAAGCTCTTCCGGTTCCCTTCTTATCCTCACATGGTCTGGCGGGACTACAGAACAAGAAAAATAGTGAAAATACAAAGTGGAAGAAATCATAGGGTTCCATATTCAGTTTTCAGTTCAGACAATTTTTTTTTTAAGAATAGGTGAAGACTGGTTATGCCTTTATAGCTTATTGACACAATTAAGCATTCTATTATATCGCTTAACTGTTGTAAATAACACAGAAACTGTTTCATTGAAATCACATGAATGAGACCAGGAAGGGGGGGGGGATGTTGTTAGGAGTTTTTAAATACACGTAAGCATTGTTTTTACCTGCAGAAACAGGAAGTAGTGATTAGGAAAAATATATAAAATAGGTTTTAATACGTTTACAGTTTGAATTTTCTACAATAAGGAACTTCTACTTCGTAGCGCTGGCATATAGATTAATTAGTTTATACTCAAAATCAGGTTATTGTTGAAACTTATAAATAAATATGATCAGTTGGGTGTACTAAATTTAAGACTTTATAGCTTGAACAAAGAGAATTGAATAAAACATACAATGCTGGACGCAAAGAATCATAAATGACAAAACGCTTCAACGAAAAACATCTCAATAGAATCTCCAAAGAGAAACATCACGTACACAACTTAAGACTTCAAATATATTCGAATCAGGGAACAGTTCAAAGAGACTTACAAAAGACGCTGAGAGTGACTGTCTCAAAGAGAGGGATCTCGGTGGCGGAGTTGGCAGCTTCACACTTGTACACTGCCTCGTTGTCCGTCACATTCGTGAGGATTGTAACCTCGGCCGAGACCGAGCGATCTGTCACTTTGGTCACTGACTGGATCTGTAGGAAGAGGGGAGAATTCAAAATTATTTGAAGAGTTTTTACAATAATTGATTAAATTTAGTTTTTTTGAGTGAATGACTGGGTTGGAAACACATTAACACATTAACACACATTAAGAAAAGAATTGAAAGCAGTTAAACGTTGCTTTAAATAACTGGTGTCAAGTGCTTAAGGGTTTCATCGTCATTTGACTGACCAGTCATGCTCTATAATGCATACCTGGTACAACTAAACTGTATAAGTATCTTAAAGAAACTAAACTATACTAACGTATCCAAGTAGATTCACTGACCTTCTTGTCATTCTTGTACCAAGTGATGGTGGCTAGAGGATTTCCCCCTGAGGATATACAGGATATCTTCTGCACAGTTCCTGCTGCAATGTGGTTTCCCTTGGTGTAGCCACTGATGATGGGAGGTCCAGGGGGATCTAGGAAGAGAAATGAAGAAATAAATCAAAGGTGGTAAGGATATAAAGCTATAAAAAAGATACAATATTAACAAAGACAACTATTTTGATAGTGGTTTGGATGGTTAGCAATAAGTATTGACTTGATAGTATGCTAGAAAGTATGGTTCTATAAACTAATGCAAGAACTTCTAATCACATTGTAAAGCCTGAAGCTTGTTTTCTATTTGTCGTTCATCTTGGTGAGGTTGAGTACTAGTGTTGAAATTTTCTCTTATTTTAATGTTAATTTTATGATTTGTGCTTTACTGTTTGGTTATAAAACTAAAAAGACCAACAATTGTTTATAATTAGATTTTTTCGTTGAACTAATTTTGAAACAAATTGTAAACAAAAACACACCTCTAGAAGAACTGTTGGGAACACTAAAGTTGTCTTCAACTGATCTATAAGGAATACAAATTCATGTGTTTGTTTAATCTATGGCATGACGTCAAAGATTTATTCCTAAGCTGAACAACAAACGTCAATCAATATCATAACCACACCAAATTACTAAAGACCCTCATCTATAATCAAAAAACTCAACGATGAATATCCCACATTCGTTTACACCCTTATGTCTAGAACTTACACAGCACATTGATGGTATGTGTGCTGACAATGTTCTCGCTGAGTTGCATATTGAGTCCGTGGCAGATCACCACCAGAGCTCTCTTGTCGGTGTCCACCACGGCTGTAGTGTTAGACATGGTTATCCAGCCTCCCTCAGGAGCTACAGCGTTACGTTGCGTAGCGTTGCGAACACTCTTTCCACCAATCAGCCACTTGATGTCTGCCGGAGGATTGCTACCGGCCGTCACGCAGGTGAGTGGTACAACGTCTCCCACGCGAGCCTCCGTAGGTCCTGATATCGTCACATGGGCTGGTGCGACTGGAAATTAAATAGTGTAAGGCACATGATTATTGTAAAGGATAAGGATTTTAGAAAAGTATATGGCATGGTAAATTGTTCACTAGCACAAGAAACGATACACTTTACACAACAATTAGAATATTTAATTTGTTCTCAAAAATATGTTTGACAAAGGAAGATTTTAGTCAAACAGTTAAGCATTAAACCTCACTTGGTTAAAAGTTCTATTAGGGACAGTAATATCTTGACTTTTGTGTAAAGTGTAACATTTTATGTTCTTCTTGTGCCAGAGCACTATTATCTATTCAATTAGGTAAGTCTGATGAAACGTGAGAAACTAAGCACCCTAAACACAAATATTAGGGGTGTTTTATGTATAATTAAAACATCCTAAAACTAATTTTTTTACTTGTATGTAGGCCTATTGAAAGACCAATTATGTCTTAGGATAAGGGGTATGGTTAAGTAAAGGCAGCGAAGACCAGCCTTGAAATATTTGAACAAATATTTAATAAAATAATTATTAGTCTGTTCATTAGTTTGAATCTTTAGTATCATATTATTTCAATACTTATCTTTAGTATTGCAATATAATTGTTAGTATTCATCCATAGTATAAGGTTGATTCATAATCAAGATGGACCGTTACTACAGTTCTCAATTTTGAAAGTCTTTTCCCACAAAAATTTAAATAAAACAAAGAACATAATATAATAACGAAGCTACTGAGTGAAGGTATGGTAATAATTATGTCACAAAGTAGTATAAACTGAGGTACAGTAAACTGGTGTGTTTGGGTGGAAGGGCAAACATCAGCTCGTAAAGCGTCAACTTGGGTATCAAGGGAAATGGACAGATTTTGAGTCTGCCTGTTAATCAACTGCCTACTCAGATTGAAAGTTGCACCAACTTTAAAAGGGGTTAGAAGGGGTCAAATTCCCATCTTAACTAACTGCTATCACAACTAAACCTGTTTAAGCTTGTTCAAGTTAATGCCTACCAAAAACGTTCAATACTTGATTTGTATCATAAAATATAAAAAATGTTTACATGTAAAATGTGTTTTTCTGATGTACAAAATGATTTAGATTCTATCACAACGTAAATAAGAAACTGTGGTTATAAATGTATAAAATTGACTCTTAGTAACAGTTAACCCAGCTAAAAGTGATCTAAGTAAGGAAAAGTGGAAGTTGTAATCAGTCAAAGATCATTCCTCCACTTGTAGATAAGAATAAAGTACATGGTTTCAATAGTATAAAAAAATATAATTTTTTCCCCTAAATCTAATACATATTTAAAATGTAATGGGATATCTTGGATTGAATATTTTCCAGTCTAATGTGAAGCAATAATTTTCAAAGTTGAAAACTTAATTAGCAAACAGAAAGCAGCTACACAAACACAGTTTATTAGGGCAATTCAGTCCTAATACTAATGGGACAGGTGTGTTAACTTTGTAAATGACAGCTCTTAAACTTTGCACAGTTTAGAAATTGACTTAAAACTTTGCCAGTAAACAAGGTTATCCCGGCGTACCAAACTCTCTTCGTTCTTTCTAATACTTTCGGCCCGGCTGTTTTTGCAATAAAAACGTCTGTGAATAGTGGATGAAAACACAAATGGTTATTGGAGATTTTTGATGATTTTGGATGGAAATCAAAAAATTGTGCATGACTTTGTAAATCTATATCTTTACAGACAAAAAAAATATAGTAACTAAAACTGTTGATCTGTATTTTGATAGAGTGAACAATTTTTCAAATTTAATCATACTGTATTATGAATATCATGTATTTTTTAAAATGGATTTACTTAATTGGAACACTTATGATATATATTTTAATGCCAAGTAGTATTCTTGAGGATCACCTATTATTTAAAATATCAATCTAATTGAAAAAAAAATTCTTTTACGAAGATCATTTGTTGTCTGGTTGGTTCTATAAGAAGTAACGTGTTATCTTTACAAAACTGAATACATGTTTCAGTGGAAATAAAGTTACTTAGTTAGTTAAATTTAAATTTCTGGTAAATTGAATAACATCTAGAACATAAAACTATATTCAGCTTACATAGAACAGTGAGCGTAACCTCGGCTTTGAGTGGGCTTGGATTCATCACGTTGGAGGCGTCACACCTGTAATAGAACATTTTATATTAGTAACAGTAACATATATAGCTTTGAGACAGTAAAATTACCTTACTTTACTGACTCTTGAGGATTAAACAACTGTTTCAATCATAAATATTTTTTTGATCATCGAGTTATCTAAAAATTACCTAATTCTGTATCCAAGATAATCCAACCTGAACTAATAAGTAATTTACAGTTATTTACACTAATAATGGACCTAAAGGTACTTTAAATTTGGTTTCTTGGTAAAGTAAATAAACGCACTGTCGGTTTTCCAATGTCTTGATTATTAGATTGTTTATAATTTTATTCATAGAGTTTTGCAATTGTATTTTTAGCTATGAATACAATGATTTAGAATGGAATGAGATGATCTGCACACCATTGTTAGCGGTGGGACACACGGGAGGGACTAAGGCTAACATATCTTGTAGTGTCAGCGTTCGCCGCTAGAACCGCTAAGTTGAAAAAATTATTATTTTTTTATTTTTAGTTATAAAATTAACTTTTTAATTATAAAATATTGTTTTAAAATTATAAAATAAATTTTTAATTTTTAAAATAGCACTGACATAACATAGCCTAACCAACCAGACTTGCTGATAATATAAAAACTGTATAAGATAAAAATCTAATTAATGATTACTTATAATTTTTAATTAATTATTAAATTAATTTTAAAATTTAGTATTGTAAAATTAAACTGTCATAACCTAACCTAACCAACCAAACTTGCTGATATAAAAATTTGTTGACAAAAAGTTAGTGCTTCCAGCGGGATTCGAACCCGGGATCTACTGAATACCGAATCGAAACGTTACTAACTATGCCACGAACCCCACTGAAAACTCAACGTTTCGTTACGGTAATCGTGTTTCCTCAAGAGTAGACATTAGCCACTAGAGATACGACGTCACTACACCTTTAGCCTTAGTCCCTCCCGTGTGCCCATTCCCCATTGTTAGCAGATTAAGCTAGATTAAGATCAGCTATTTGTTTAGCCAGAAAAATTAATTTTAAACAGAACGGTAAAGGAAAGGAAAGCTGGGTTACTTTCATACTAATTCCTCTTTTAACATAAATCACTTTTCCCTACCATCTCCGAACTCACCTATACTTTGCCTTGTTGTCGCTGGAGTCTGCAGTGAATGTGTATATATTCTCAGACAGTCTACCAGCTGTTCTGTACGCCATCCGGATCTGTTCACCGTTCTTATACCAGATCAGCTGAGCCGGGGGATTGCCTCCTCGAGATCTACAGATCAACTCCACCGTTTGTCCTCGGCGGATCGTCTCTCCTTCCGTGTATCCCTCAATGTACGGCAACCCAGGGGGATCTGGAATAGGTTACCAAAGGGTTAAACATATTTGCCAACAAAAAAAGAGGTTTATTTTTTGTTTACCTACCAAAAAAACAACTTCAGTACCAACTACATGTATGGTTAACATATTTGCATGCTTAACAAAGCTAAAATCTGTACTCAATAGTCGAGGTTAATAAATTGAGTTGAGGGGTTTAATGAATGATACAGATTATGTTGAATGCAAGTGTTTAGTTGTACTCATTAAATATGAATATCAATAATCTGAACATGAAAAGAGAACAAGGTTACCTTCTGTTACTGACGGATTGAACTTAAAATGTCTTTCCGGATAAAATGTATTTCACCTCTAACAATTAATTGGTTTATAACGAATAACTTTTAATCCCTACAAAATCACACAGTGTTTCATGATCTTTTACCACCCTTATTATTTTCCCTGAATCATATCCGATAATCCTAAGAGACAGTAAAAAAAATTACTAACACACACAGTTTGTATATGAACCTTTGCGTCCCTGGCTCCAGGTCCATTGACTAAAGCAGCTCTGATTTAATGTTATTTATACTTTTATAATCTATAGAAAGTCTGCACACTTACATAATACGCTGAGTTGTACGGTGGTACGCAGAGGCATGTCATCAGGCAAGGCCTCATGCTTGGCTGCGCAAGTGTAGTCTGCGTAGTCGTCCTCCGCAGTCGGCTGCAGCGTGATTCTGCTACTTACTGTAAACCTCTTCGCTCTCTGTCCCGGAGTCTCTACTTCTATCACTCTGTCTACTCTCTTGTCTACAAACAAAATACATAAATTAAATAAAACAACAGAAGGGTTCACATGTTACTATTAACAACCAACTATGGGTTATTTTCTTTATGTATTTTCGTGTCTTATAAAGCTTAAGTTCATTGACATGGACGGTTGGCTAAATTTGTCTATGAGATAAATCAGTTTTTTGCTTATAATAACATTAGGAAGTAAAAGTTTTTAACATATTATCTAATTAAGCACAAAAAATTGGTCAAGCTAAGCTACCTTCAAAAGGAAAAGGATGATAAATAAGCTAAATATATTTCTATACTGAAAGAGAGTCATAAGTAAATATTTTATGTAATGCTTTTAAACAATCACTTTTATACTACAGGTATATTGTTATGTAGTTGAGATAGCTAAAACAATAATTACTAATTTTGAAAGAAACCAGTATGTAGGCCTACTAATTAAAAAAAAATAGTCAAGTGTCAACATTTTGCAAATAGTGGGAAATGAAAAAGTAGAATATTGCAATGCAACATTTAGTGTGTTTAAATTATATTCAGGTAATCTTCGATTTCATAGTTTATCATTTAAAATATTTACATTAATAACATCTATAGAAAAACCAATAATTTATTACTTACTTCAGTAAAAACTATTACCAGGTATTTATTGGGATGGCGATAAAGAAAATCTACTATCTACTATCTAATGTAAAACTGACCCACCAATAAAACCAACAAGAAAAGAATGTTGGAAGAATGTTACCACAAATACCAAAGACAACCACTCAATAGTATTAAACATTCAAGTAAGGAATTTGAAGGGAAAAGTTAAACAATAACATTCGTGTTGTTCTGTTCAATATAAACACACACGTAGTTCCAACAAAACTCCAAGTTGAGTTTTACTGTTTCCTAACCCAAGAACAATTTAATTGTAAACTGTGACTTGCAGGGTTTCTTGAAGTATTTGCGGCTGACTTTACTTGCTTAACTTTCAGCTTGACAAACTTCATGTGAGATCATTAAATTTCCTAACTAAGTTACGGTATCAGAGCTCTGTAATTGTAAATCAGCTTTGAGAGAATTGAAAAACAATATTATTACACAGCTTTTTATAAATCAGAAAATAAGTTTTTGATTTAGATAGAAAATATTCCCACATTAAATCTTCAAGTTCCTTTTAAATTGGTTTCTGAACTGCAACATCATTGAACAATAAACTTGACCTTATTTAACTTACTTCTTTTTTTCAAAAGGAGAAATTATAATCTATATAAGAGATTATAATTTCTCTATAAAGATAATCAATAAAGATTCAAGGATGTACACCCATTTTCTTTATATCGGTTTAAATGTGAATCGTAAGCAATAAACAAATCAGTTTATGAAAAGCATTTAAATAGACCACTTTTTAATAATTGTAATCTCAGGAAGGTACCGGTAATTCACTATTTATAGTGATTGTAAAATTAAAAACATTTTTTCATTATTAATTAGTAGCTGCATTCACCTAATAATTTTCTTAAGTAAACATAATCATTGAATAGTAAGGGTATTGTATAATCTTTTTGCCCCGGAAACAAGTTTTGAGTCCTATGAAAATGTGCAGTTTGCGGAAATGTCTTCTTGTAAAAGATAATTGAAAATTATAATATGTTATATGTATATTTCTATTGACCAATGTAGATTATCTTACCCAGTTTTAGCTCCACCTGTCCTCTGTACCAGACTATTTTCGCCGCAGGTTTGGAGTTCTTCACAAGGCACTCGAGCTGAAACTCTTCATTTTCTCGTATCTCTATTTTTGAATTGGCCGTGTGGTTGACCATTTCAATGGAGGATGGAGGGGCTGTAAGCAAAACATTTTGTCATTCTTGAGACTTAAGGTAATGATTAGCTGTTGATAAACTTTTGAAATGAAATGAAAAATGATTTATAAAACAGGCAAAGTTAAGGAATAGATTGTTCTATTTTATTCTTAACCTAACAAAATAATTTTGTGAGCTTCACAGGATTTAAATTAAAATTTAATCCTAAAATTGGGGATAATAAAACTCATTCTATTTTAAAGTATTATCTCTTAAGACACCTTCTACGATCTTTGAACATTTTAAAAATTGTTTAACAGTAAAGTTCAAACATTTTACACATATTCAAATAATTTGAAGATTTTGCTAAATAAAAGCACCATTAGGATTTGTAGATTAAACTACAAATCCTAATGGTGCTTTTATTTAGCAAAATCTACAAATTATTTGAATATGTGTAAAATGTTTGAACTTTACTGTTAAACAATTTTTAAAATGTTCAAAGATCGTAGAAGGTGTCTTAAGAGATAATACTTTAAAATAGAATGAGTTTTATTATCCCCAATTTTAGGATTAAATTTTAATTTAAATCCTGTGAAGCTCACAAAATTATTTTGTTAGGTTAAGAATAAAATAGAACAATCTATTCCTTAACTTTGCCTGTTTTATAAATCATTTTTCATTTCATTTCAAAAGTTAATCTACAAATCCTAATGGTGCTTTTATTTAGCAAAATCTACAAATTATTTGAATATGTGTAAAATGTTTGAACTTTACTGTTAAACAATTTTTAAAATATTTCAGATATTGACAAAAAAATCTAAAATATAACTACTTATTAAAGCTTACTACAATCATTTAACAGATGAAAATCGTAAACATTAAGTAAAACTTTACACAAAGAAGCATAAATCACGTGAAAAATCCCAATAAAACACAGGTGAACAATGCACCACCAGTCTATACACAGAGAACAATGTGACAGTGAATAAAAAGTGGCGAAAGAGGAACTAAGAGTAGTAACATCCATCACTCAATTAGAGCAATGGTGCCACGACAAATCATGTAGTAGGGGGTTGAGGGGGGGGGTCATACATCAGGTGATTTAGTGAACCCCGGACCTGGTGACAAAACACACTATTAACATGTACTGGGGACCGATTCAACTTTGAACTGTAGCTTAAGATGTCGATTTATTAATATTTAAAATTATTTGACTTGCAATTCAAATTCTTGTAGCATACAAAAACTAATAAATTTAGAGCGTACATCAGAACAATAGCTTAATTGTTAATTTATTAGTTACCCAGATAAAGAAGATTTTACTGGCAAATAAATGTCTTCTAACTTACAAAATTAATAGATTTATCTTGTGTACAACAGAACAATAGGTTAAATTGTCAGTTTATTAGTTACCCAGATAAAGCCTATTTTGCTGGTGAATAAATGTCTTTTTACGGACAAAATTAATAGATTTATCTGGCTTGCACCGTTAAAACATCAACCATTGTCGAACTGATACCTTTTTAAGGTAAACTTAAATTTTTTTAAGGTACGTAGTTGTTTACATGCAACAACATACTTTATTTGAAATTTTTACAATTCATTACTACAGTTCACTTGCATAACCTCCTTGATACCCATACAATCGGGGATGGGGAGACCAATGGATTTAAGTAAGCAAAAAAGAAAAAATTTAAAAGTAAAAATAATTATAATTATTAAATTAGTATAACAATTTGACATCAAATCCCTCAAGTTTTACAACTCAAACAACCTTGAACATGAAAATAAAATTTTGACTCTATTACAATTATTGTGTAATCCAATAACTAAATTTAAACAATTAAAAGGACTCATTAAAACCACTCTGACAAAATACTCTTCCCACAAAGGTAGAAAAGGAACTCGTAAAACAGGTTTGACGACACTCGATAAAGGAACTGAGTGATACTGATCTTGATTCAATAAGGGGAGAGATAGGACGAGAGGAGAATCTATATAGGAAATGTGGTGGGTTAGGACGAGCTGATAACGGGACAAAGTACTGGCGAATGGTGTCATCTCATGTTGAATTAAACATTACGTCTACAACACTGAGAAAGGAGAAACTGTTGTTGATGAGTGACAATCTGGGGGCTTGGAATCAACTGTTGGACCTTATAGTTTAGTAACGGGTATTATTTAATTGGATGTTGTTTGATTGTTGGATCATTCAGTTGAATACAACGAGTATTATGCATTATGGGACCGGGTATATGTTGTTGGGTTGTTGGGTCATCCATAGTATATGTATTATGGAATGATGTAGCGTATAATTGTTGGATCATCCAGCTGTGTAGGACCATATGTATTATGTGTACATAGTAATCCATTATTGCCATAATGTCGAGGAGGAAATCGGGATTCTAACTGTAGACATTTAATTAGCAGCTGACTAAAAATTGCGTTAAGTTTATCGAAATGTACAAGGTGAGGCATAATAACAAGCGATTTTAAAAATACTGTTAAATAAAAACCCTTTGTAAAAAAATTATTTTTATTCCACAATATTAAAAAACATGAAAAAGCATTTTCTGCAACAGTAAAATGTCAGTTATTTCTTGAAAATAACTCCAGTAAGATGGCGTCCGTTTAAACGTACTCATTCCTCCAGCCGGACCTTGAAGTGACTCATCACATTTCGTAGCATTGCCAGTGCGATTTGACCAACTTCCTGCCGGATCCGCTCTTTCAGGGCTTCAATTGTTCTAGGAGGATTACCTTGGTAAACCTTACTTTTCAGATAACCCCACAAGAAAAAATCACATGCTGTGAGGTCAGGTGAACGAGAGGGCCATGCAATATCTCCATTTCGGGAGATCACACGATTTGGAAACAACTGATTGACAATATGCATGCTTACTCGAGCAGTGTGGGATGTTGCTCCGTCTTGCTGGAAAAACATTTCATCGTTCACTTCGTACTGTCCAAGTTGTGGAGTAAAAAAGTTGTCCAACATCTCTGCGTATCTCTGCGAAGTCACTGTCACCGCATTGCCTTGGCCATCTTCAAAGAAGTATGGCCCTATGATCCCCAATGAAGACATGGCGCACCAAACAGTTACTTTTTTGGAATGCAATGGCTGCTGATGCAGTTCTCTAGGGTTAACATCACTCCAAAATCGAAAGTTTTGCTTGTTAACATAACCTGAGAGATGGAAGTGCGCTTCATCACTCATCCACAAACGGTTTACAATGTCCTCGTCTTCATTAATCAAATCCAAAAATTCTAAGCTGAACCGGCTTCTGCTTACAAAATCCGTTTCCTTTAGGGCCTGAACCATTTGGATTTTGTACGGGTGGAAGTGCAAATCTTGGTGTAAAATTCGTCTTACCGTTCGGTTTGAAATCCCAAGTGTAACGCTGTGTCGGCGAGCTGAGCGACGAGGGCTTCTGTCAATGGCGACTCTTACACGTTCAACGTTTTCAGGTGTGCGCACAGTTTTCGGTCTTCCTGTTTTCTTCCTTGTCGTTCACGCAGTCTCTTCAAAGTTCTTAACCCAATTTTTAATCGCACAGGCAGATGGCACCGGCTGATTCCGATTAATGTTGAAATGGTTGCGGAATGCACGACGTGCTAACTGGTATGAACTACCGTTTTGATAAAAGGCTTTGACAGCGTACGCACGATGCTGTGGGGTCCAGCGCTCCATTGTGACTAAATGCTATTTCGCGCCAAACGTAACTGATGCTATCCCCTCCACCTCCCTCCAACGCAGCTTGGTTCGCGCGCTTTTTAAAATCGCTCGTTATTATGCCTCACCTGTTATTTCTATAGCATCAAAGTTGAAGTTGTCTAAGTTTATATTTAGATTTACCTACATTTGTATTCACAAAAAATAAGTTTATTACGATTGAATTGAGCAAAAACAACATTTTTATTTACATGTATGTAAATGCATGTTTAAAACCTGCGCTAAAATAATTTACACTGTGAACGAATCACTCTTTCATCACCGATCTCTAACCCAAGATTGACTTAAGTGTGTTTGTTCAGCCAAACCTTTATGTTTGCTAACTCGATGTTAAAAATGAAAATAAACTGAACAAGAATAGTTATTTGTGCAACTAGTGAGAAAAGTGAGCAATTGACTCACTCGAGAGAAATCCTTACTCACGAGCCGTAGGCGAGTGAGGAATGGTTTCTCGAGTGAGGCAATTGTACTTTGAACTCGAGTTGCACATTATACTTTTCCTACAGTTACCATAAAACAAATAAATTGGTGAAGAAACATAACCTATTTTTACACAGAAGTGAACTTTTAACATAACATTTAATGCGAAGTGACAAATACAACAGTACAACAGCTGACCAGCTGATTTACAGCCAGTGCTGCCAACGTATTTCGCGCGCATACGACGTTGACTGCATGTTACGCGCTCACTATTTCGTGCCTTCACGATGCAAATCTGGAGTGAGACAAAGTAATTAGAGTGAGACAATGTTAACATTGTCTCACTGATGAGCGAATTGGCCACTTTGCTTTCTCAAATCAGTGAGAGAACATGTACATTGTTAGGTAACTGTAGGAAAAATATATTTACATGGTCTTGTTTATTCAAACGTGTCCTTAAAACTAAAGACGTTCTACTGTAAAAATCCAATCATCGAAGCATGCCATGTTTTATTCTTTTTGTGAATGTTGAAACCCACCAACTCAATGACACATTTTTACCACACGAACAATACATTTCAAACCCGATATATTCCGCCGCTTCAATGATCCTTACAAACACATTGAAGTGTGATGGAAATAGTGAAAAGCACGGAACTTCCCCTCATACTGTTACTTTGGGGGGGGGGGGGGGTAATTGAGAGAGACTACAGTAAAGGAATAACAGTTCGTTGGAACGTCCTAACACAAATACTGTCCCTGCTCAGGTCATATAGATACCCGGTGTTCCAGAGGTCCCTGGGGAACTCCCTGTATTCCAGGATTTGACGTTCAAGTGTGTTGACACAGTCCACAGTTTTACCGAACGACTTCTTTGTTTTGAATATCTCCACGAGGGAGTATCATTTGATGAAACGAATGGTTTGTTTATTTGAGTGGAAAGTGTATTCTTTACTGTGTGCTTTATATTGTGACTTTAAAATCAGTAACAAGCTTTGAAAGTATAATGGCACATTTTGCTGCATTTTATTATCCAATAAAAGATATATAAGTCTCTAAATAAGGCTGATGAATGTTTAAACACAAGACAATTGTAGCAGTGAACCTCCTGAAAAAAAAAAACACACACACCACCAAAAGTTGATTGTAATACAAAAACTTTATTTGTCGTTTTAGAGAAAAGAAAATTTACATTCACAAGATGATTTTAAAACATAAAAATCTCTAAAAGAATAAAGATCTCTATCAGCAAACGTACAACTTAGTAGTGTTAAAACTGTTCTCGTTCAACCGATTTTAAACAATTTAAGAAGTTAATTTGTTGTCTAATAAATAATTAAAATGTTATAACCACATATTTTAGGAAAGAGTGGCGGAACGGATAACATAATTTTATATTATTCCAATGTAGGATGATTACGAAACTAATTCGTGACATTGGAAAATACTGTACAAAAAATATTAACAACTTCAAATTCACCCAAGCTAAAACAACAACCGTAAAATTTAAACAAGAAGTTAATTGGAAGAATAATTGCATTAAAATGTCAATTTTCAAATTATTCCACAACTTAAAGAGAGAAAGGATTTCATTACAAGGACTGGAGCAATATCACCTAACGGCTTAACGTTCAAAATTCCAACTCTCTCTGCCTCGATTGTCGTCCTCATTATAGTATCGTTTAGTCTTCAACGATTCAAGACCCAAACTATCATTACTACTACCGATGAATTTTAATAACGCAGAAAATAGGCATCATTTTGTAAGGTAATTTAATAAAATTTTGCTTAAAATTAAAGAATGAACTATGCTATTGTGACCTTGCTTTTATTACGTTGTTGTAATACTGAGAACATTAAAACGCTTCGCAAATATGGGTTTGATAGTTCATTGATTCTCACATAAACTCCCCTTGCTATTAAACTAAGAGTTTATTAGTAAAACAAGAGTAAATATAACAGAAAACTTTCTAACATTACAATTTGATTGTTATTGTTAGGCATCGAAGCAATTAACCAGTTCATTTAAATTTCTCTCGTATATTTACAGTAATTAAGCAATGCTGATTGAAAATGTTATTTTTGTTACTCACAAATAGCAGGGTGTTTATTTTGATCGCTGATGTTTACGATTTGGCACTATCATTGTTGAACTAACACCACCTATTTACACTATGTTTCAAACAAATACATTGTCAGGTATAATTGTGTTTAATAAATGTAATAATTTAGATGAATTAGAACTAGGCCTGAGCATGCAATGTAAACAATTAACTAAAAGCCTTTGATTTATGCAAGGGAAAAATTTGTGTGAGAAATATAAGCAGTTTTGCACCGAATAAAGACATTATGCCTAAATTTATTATTTTAAGCTCATTACTGTTTATGATTTATGTTTTTATTAGTTTCACAGGACGTTAATGTTGAATAAGTATAGTAGATAGTGGATTTATTAGGAGAATCCAAGGTTCCTAAAGTGTATTACAAGAGCACAATAATCCGCCAGTAAAACCCTTATTTTGTTTGTGTATAAAATTACAGTACTGTACACATTTTTTACTAAACTCAGTTTTTGATGATCTCTAGTTGAAAATGGTGTAAAATATATTTCTGTTGTTTCAGCACTCCATATTGAAAATATATATTTCATATTATTCATAACTGGCCTTGAAATGGTAATAGTATGTTTGCGCGTCCTTAATATAAATGCAATTTTCATTAATACCGTTAATATTTTTCCAAACTGTATTACAATCAACTACTGCAGCATTAATTTTGTATCAAAGTGAAAATTGTGTATAGGGAACTTTTATTTTTGCTAATAAATCGTCGACAATTTTCCAATTAAAAACCGAAACACAATGAAGAAACAAATCACGAAACCCCGACAACCAGGGACACAGTGGTCGCTGAGTGCAGTGTTGTCAAGTGTTGTCGCTCCCTGAACAATAAACATATTTAATTGGGCCAAAACGCACATTTGAGACGCGGGGGTCGCAACGCGCATGCCTCACTGGATCGATGGTACAGTCTGTTCTCTGTCTCACTCACTCTCACGGCACTCCCTATCTGCGCTCTCTCTCACACAGTCCATCCAGGTATCTTAGCTGATGAATTGCCCCGCCCGACCCCACATTTGACTCATTACTGACCCCAACATTTGTTGGAAATCGAGAGTGAAAGTGGTCATGCGGATTTTGAAATTCAACAAAATACTATGTGCTAAACATAATACGAATAAATAATGGATTTGTCAATGAAAATATTGTTTTCTTACACGAAAGCATACACGAATAATAATACTAATTGGATATAAAAAGTGATTTTACACTGTGTATTCTATCACATTGTGTGATCGCCTTCATCTTTTACGATGCAATTCCCGCCTAACACAGATGTATCCATATTGCTGCATCAAGTTTAACGGCGCGTCCGTAATGCAATTGAAACTTTACAACAAAAACGTGCACCAGCTCTAGCAAACGTCTATGGTATTTGTAGTGCTTGTTCCAGTGAAAACTATTTTCATTCAATCGTCAAATAGAAATTGCAAGAAAAAGTGTTATTATTGTTATTAATGGTACATAGATTCCACACATTGTAGGTGCGATGCATTCATTTAGATGAGGACATACTCTACAGATGAAGAGTGTACTCTATGTATACTCACATATGACGGAGAGCCGGGCGTCCGCCCTGATAGCCTTGTGGAAGTTCGCGGGTCCGACCTGACACTGGAACTCGGCGTCGTCCTCCAGAGAAGCGTTCACAACTCGCAGGTTGAACACTCCGTTTTTACTGTCGCCGATCACAGAGTAGCGCGGGAAACCTGGGATCACAGAGCTGAACCCTGTAACAAAAGTGCACCTCAGTATCTGACAAAGCTTTGTATGTATAGTAAATAACCAAAACCTATTGTAAATAAATTAAAATGAAAAATTTTACACAATGGAAAATATATACTTAAGTTAGTCTTTCTTTATTGAATGTAGGTGTAATTGCTACATATTGAGCAAAGTTATGGAGATTTCCTTTCGCAGTTAACACACTTTAACATTTTTTTCCATTTGATCGATTCTCTTTACAAGGGATATATTATACAACAATTATACTCTAAAAGATTTATTCGTTCTCACAGTTTGAAACACTTATACGGTAAAAACTATGCCTTTATTATGTGAAAACATTAACACTTTAAAAATTCCATAAAACAATTTAGAAAACCAAAGCTTTTCACAGTCAAAATCGCAATAGCAACGAAAATCACAAAAATAGCCTTAGTATTACCTTAATATTTGTTCAAAGCTAATACAAAATTGAGGAGAAACAACCGTGCAGTTATTCATTCATTATTACGAAATTCTCCAACAATTATTTATTCATATTGTCTAATTTCCATGAATGCAAACAAAACAACTAGATATAAGCTCGTTCTAATACTTGATAAGTTACATATTTCAGTTGAAAGCACTCCAAATAACTCAACAGTGTTGGCAACACCACTTCACCTAACATTCTATTGTAACAATGCAATTTTGAGTACTTATTTGTTAAATTTTCATATTTGGAGTACGTTTATTGGCAGTGGGTTTTAGCAAAATATTATATAAATTGCGTAAACCAGTGTGATAATGTAAAACAAATATTAAACCCGACTCAATATTCGTGGTTATTCAATGCGGCCACAACAAAGCAAGCCCTCTGTTTTGTTTACCTGTTTTTGTTACTGGACCTAGCGGCGGTGGACAGTTGAAAATCTATATTATTTTTAAACCACCACATAGTGTCCATTGCTTTGGTCTCAACTATTTGTAAAAAAAGAAAACTATACAGTTACTAGAACAGTATGTGGTTATGGATACTCAGTGAAAACTAATTTAACCCTACTACATAAAATTAATTTGTTTAAGCAACAAAGAAATGTCACTTCAGCTTTGTTGAATTCCTATTAGTGTGGTTGTTTCGAATTACAACTAAATTCGAATTCAATCAATCATCTGTTAGTGATAGCATATGCTATCTTTGGCGATACTGTGTTCAAAAGGTGTTTTCGATATTCTAGTCAATGCTACCTTAATAAGCATTTGATTATAGTCCACAGTGGCATGCTTTTCCAAGAACATATATCATCTGTTTTGTGTAGGCTAACTAGCATAATGAGAGCTACATGGTCACAAAATAGTCATCGCTGTACAATGTAGCCTAATTTGATACAGATTGATTATACTACTTTATGAAAATGAATCTGTATTGCAGAATGTGTATCACTTGGTATAAACCCAATCTCCAAGGGTCAGTGTTTTTACTTTTTTTGAACCATGTACAGAAAAAGGTTTTTAAACCAATTTATTTATTGATTTATTTATTTAACAAGTATTTGTTTACAATCTATTCTATACTAGAACAATAAGTAAATTTCCACATAAAATGTGGAATAAGGTTGTAATAAGGTTGCAATAAGGTTGTAAACATGAAGCATGTATAGATAGCAATGATGATTAAAATAAGGTCATGAGTAGGAGGTCTGTGCATCCCAACAGCGAACTAAACGTTCAATAATTCTAACAGTAGGTTTTATCATCTCAGCATCAATACTAGAGGTTATCGTTACTTGATAAAACTGTTTTATGTACACAGCCACAACATAACTGAGTTTTTATTTCATTTTGGAGGAGGTTTATACAATTACTGAACACTAGTTTGTGGCTAGTTTTCTGCAGAACATGTATCTGATAGACTGGTACAGCGTTTCTGACAGTTTATAGCATGCTGTACACGCTCAGGGCAACTAGAAACATCGTTATCAATGTTATGATACATAATGTCCATCGCTTGAACTACGTGTTTTCAACAGTTTGCAAAACGAACGTTTCGATACCACAACTTTTAATGTGTCAAAACACGACTGTAAATGTTAAGTCATATAACACTGCCCCATTATATTTTATAATAATAGCAAATTTGTTAATTAATTATGCGCCGTTACACATTTACGGTAAATTGGTAAATATTATACGTTGTAAGTGATTAAACTTTTTTGAACAACACATTTGATTTTCTCAGAAATAATACATTTTTCCTTTACGTGGTGCAAAAAAATTTTAAAAAAATTACTAAAAATCTTAGAATAGTCAAACAAACAGTTTCTTCCTCAGACAATGTAGGAGTTACGAGCTTTTACATAAATAATTGGTAAACAAACAAAAAGACTATTAAATGTCCGATTGAGTAACATTTCCCAGTTTAACCTTACAACTTTCAACTTTCAAGAGCCAAGTATGAACAACACAGTACAACGTGCAGACGTGTAAGAAACGCAGCATCTCCAACGCAGGGACAAATCATAACGCAATTCCCAGCCCTCATTTGCACACAAAACACATAAAAACTTTTCCCATTTCGCCATTCTGACTGTAGATCGCAGATGTGCTCGACAAACCCACAAATCTCAGCAATTAGAGGTTCGGGAGCCAGTGATTATACGGATAATTAAGTAAATAATTGGCACTCGCCCCGGTAGCTAAGCCAACTTGAGCAGTAATATCCTATTGTTCCCCTTATTGGTAAAGCCCGAGCAGCGGAAGTTGAAAATCCACCTTGGGTGAAAGTGAAAGGTAAAACAAATAGTTTGCGATCGCATCCAACAATGCAGATCAAACAAAGTTAAACGAGAGGGATCCTTATTGTAAAAAGGATACTGTACCAGGGAAACTGTTTTGCAAAATGTAACTAGCAAATGATAAGATTAATTAACTTGTGATAGATTGTATGCGTAATTAAATACATTTTCAAAAGAATTCTTTATAAAAAATATCTTAAAATAACTTATGCACTTAGAATTTGACTTGGTGTACGTATTGGCATTGGCACCTAGCAGATTACAATTACAATATGACATATTCAGTAAGTACAAATTTTATCATTTTTAAAGTACAAATTTATTTATTATGAGATTAAGCAGAAAAATCGCCAAAATTTAGAAGGCCGTATATCTATTAATAGTTTAAGAAAGTTTATTGTAAGGCTTTAAAAAAGTTGTCACAAAATATTTGTTGGGTGCAAACGAAACTGGGGTGTTTGCGGACTAGTTTTTCAAAATAGTTATCTGAAATAGGATAGAATAATACTTGGGAGCCTCGGTATAATCAACAATAAGGAAAATATGCAGTACTATCAATTCATTTGCTTCGATATTCCTTGAATACGAGAACGAGGAAAATCAGTGTGAATCTAAAATTACAGTGTTCAACTACGCTGATGATTAAGTATGACCGCAATGTAAAGTTTATTGCTGCTTGATACACACTCACAATATTAGTAAGTCATAGATTAAAATTTCAATTGTAATATATACGATTCATTCCCTGATTCTTATTCCGTTACTTCACTCTAATATATCAGGCCAACAGAAAAACAGGATTACGGAAATGAAGACGCAGTGACAGTTTGTTTGTGACGGTCGACCGAATCACCGGGGATTGGTTGTATCCATCTAAGCAATTCCTGAGATGAGGAGGGAGGCATAATTGTAGCGGAGTTTATCTTATTTTGTATTCCCGGGACAACAGATGCCTTCAAACGGCGCTTCCTAGAAGATGCATTTTCCACGCCACTGGACCAGAAAGCATTTTAAAACCGGCAGTTTACAATAAAGTCGGATATCGGAACGCGGGATTTGCATTTGCGGAATTGTGGAAAATTAACGCTCTGCGCAAGTCTGGGGAATTGCTAACTGGATCCTAAATGCGATACTTAGAGATTCCAATGGAGCGATGGGGTGAAGAGGTCACGGGTTCAAGATTTTAGTTTCCGGCCGATCACAGAATATTACATTTATATAAACTCAGTAGCTGTGAAACATTTATAATTAAATTTGTGAGTTTCGTAAAAGAACCTACATAGAAGTATGATATTGAATGAATGAATTTCATCATGTGGAAGAGAACAATTAATTTTTCAAACCCATTAAAGACAATGTTATGTGCATTTTAATATAAGTACCTTTAACACCATTAAAAGGTTTCTTTCATTTTCTTTTAGGCCGTGTTTACACGATGCCAGTAGACAGATAACCTGCCTGCCAACTAGTCTAATATAATCGCGGCTTTCGTACTAAAAATAAAGTTTTCCTTGTATTCTGTACATTTATTTCAAAATATAACTCGTAAAATCGTTTGTGCCCTAAACTTAAATGATTTAATTTTTTATTGACTCATCGTCAACTCACTATGGAAAAATAAAAGGACAAATGCTGTCGCCTTTGGGTTCAAATTTCTCCTACTGAATTATGCGTATTTCTGCGCAAACGACATCGTCAGATCCGTTTAGGGAATATTTTTTCCCCTAAAGAGGTGTGAGGAAAGTTCAGTAACAAAAAACATAAACACGTAAAAAAAGTAGTCGGTTGTTATTCAGCATAGTTCTTCTTTTAAGACGCGAGCACTGGCAGGAGTATATGGAGGCACGCCAGACGTGTGTCAAGATTTACTATGAAAACTTAATTATTTAACCGTATTTCATTTCTACAATTAAAATCAAAAGTAATAGCTGTTCCGCAATAGTTTTCCCTCAGTTTGCAAATCCCCAGTTAGAGACTCCCCGCAGCTCGCCGAGTGTCGAGTGCTTGTGTTTGTTTGTGTAGTGTTGGGCTCCAGTCGCTTTATCTAAGTCGGCTTTGAGTAACTGGGCTATAATTGACACGATCCTACCTCCCTCCCCCTCCACGCCATCACTCCAATTATCCCTTCAACTTAAGTTCGCCCATCCAATTAGTAAGCTATGCCAGATCTCAGGCTCAGGAAAATATCGCCATGGAGATGAAAATGGTGGGATTATTTCATTATTTTCTACGTGTTTGCATTTTAAAATATTATGCATCCTCATTCCTCCTATAATGTTCCTGGTTGACCTAATAGAACGAAATTAAATATGTATTCGAAACTATATTTAACTAGGTTAGTGTTTCTGTACCACTATCTTGTTAATGATTAATATAGATTCAATTAAATTAATAATACTCCGACAGTCCGTGGTTTGCCACAAAGCCAGTGTTTCCACATTTTGGCCAACCAGGACACACAACTGCAATAGAAAGGGTCGGAATTGGGGACTTGCTACAGAGATACAATAAATAAAATACTTATACGTTACATAAAGCTAATTATTTCACTACTCATTTTTACAATAACCATTAATTTCTTCTCACTGAAACAGTGTCGAGATTGGTTATTTCGTTTATTTATCGATATTTATATTTTAAATATTACATTAATTGAAGACTGGTTCAGATTAAAGTTAAGGAATTTTGGGATCCAAAAAACCAAAATAATAATAAGTACCGGATAATCAGGAATCTATTTATTCACTTGCGAGAAATTCCTTTTTTCTCGATTAGATGTGACGTGGCGTATGCATTTTTCCAGGAGGTGTTCAATAACTACACGTTATGATGAAGTTTTTATTTAAAATTGAAAATCTTGTTAACTTAGACAGCTTTGACATGAGATGATAACTGGGATACACATTTAGGTTTTATGGGGAATCGCATATTTATACTGTTTCATTCACGTGAAATTAGGCTAGGACCTTTGAGTTTTTACTATATCTACTAAAACTAGACTGATTTGGATTCTTTTCGACCAAGTTTCAGAAATTTAAAGAGAGCAAGATCATATCCAAGCCCAGCCACACTGAATCCAGCTCACTCGTTGACCCACCTACCATGACAACGGTCGTTCTAGTTCGACATACTCCAGTACTCTATACCGAGTTTATAATTTTCACATAATACACCAAGTCAACAGCTGTTCACAACAAAGTACTCACCAAGAGCAAAGCCATCCTTGGTCCACTGTACGAAGCCTGCTCGGTTCGCGACCTCACATTGCAGAGTCACCTCGCCTCCCTCGTGGACCTTCACGTCCTTCGGCTGGACACGGAAGTACTGTAACTGTCCTCGCACTGCAACAACATGAATACAAGTCAGCATGTATACAAGCAAACTGTAAGTTCAAGAAATCAGTACGGCTCCAGAAACAGTTCCAATAGGATGGTCCTTGGTGTACAGTCGACCTACCACAGTGGTGAAATATATTATTATCTAAAGAAATCAAACAAATGGAAGGATGTTTACAAGATTACGTGAAAAAATTCCATCAAGATTACTATTACAAGTGATTATTCAAATGATTGGGTTTTGTATACCTAAAGTACTCGTAAAAGTCTATTAGTTTTTCATTTGTTGACCACGTCAAGATGTTATAGTCAACTGACAGGGTCCCCTACATATCAGTTTTATCCATTGTAGTTATCCAATTGGGCCTGATAAGTGTCGAGGCGAAATCTATACCATTGCCCTCTATATTCACTTGCCCGATGCATACAGGTGATATTGATACCGAAAACTCCGCCCTGAAGTCAATTACAGCATTGTGGTCTGCAAGTTCGATTGCTTTACTCTCAAGTTTCTCAACACTTCAAACGTTCTTAGTAGCTGAAGCATTGATGATGTTCCAAATGGAGTATATTCTCGATTATTATTTGGTGTATTCTCAGAATATTCTCCTTTTGTTTGGTTCTGTAGTTTATTATGAAACCGTTGGATACGTTTCCATTGAAAACGGAGTATCATATATAATCTAAAACGATACCAGTCAACAACTTTTGAACTGTAATTCTACAGCATTGGGGGTTTTACAGTTTTGTTTAATGTTTATAGAACCATAATATACTTAATTTTAATCATAATCATTGCAGCCATTTTCGGGTCAAAAGATCAACAATAACAAACGTTCAGTAACTCACATATTACTACGACGTACAGTAACTACGACGTGAGATACGACGTACAGTAACTCACAGTAACTACAACACCATGAACAAACATCAAACACAGTAATAATTTATTTTCACCGATGATTCCTTGTTTCCTATGACGTAATACGTGTACTGTACTAGGGTGGTTGCAATTATCGTCGATACCGTTGGCTGTGTACAGTAAGTCATTCTATAAAAGGCGAGTGTCTAAGTTAAAATGCATCAATAAACTATGGGAGAACGTGGGTTGAGCGAGGCAAGTGGAACTTTCAGACTACGTGGGTAGTTCTGGGTCACCTGTACACTTACACACTGACACACACACGAGCACGCCCGTATACACAGGTAAATCAGCAGGTAGATTAGTTGTCTGTACTGAGGAAGCTGTAAACAAAGGTGGATTGAAATATAAACAGCGTGATGGGTGTGTTAGGTAAAGCGGAAGGTTTCTTAAATTTGGAGGTTCATATGACACACAATTAGAAAATACATCGTAAGTATTTTGAGGAAGGGTATCTGCAATACTGGGACAAGTGTCTTCACATCTAAAGGGGACTGATTTATAACCCAACAGGTTAATATACAGTCTCATGTCAGACCCGAGCCACAGTATAGTGACATTGGCTAACAACAAATCGAAATTTACCATTAGCAGGACTTGAACTCGTACCTTTAGGATAGAATGTATGAGCTTAAATCATTAGATCGGCCGCACCGCTTTGTCTGGTTCGAAGACGTTACTTAACCAATCAATTCCAGCTTAGCAATGCTTGCGCTAATAATGAAAGCTTAAACTCTGTTTAGTGGATGCACTGCTCGCCTTCAATCTTAAAGTTGCCGGTTCAATCCAAGCACGGTTGATTTTTGGGCTATCAGTTTGCGATGCATAAAAATCGACGTTCGATGGTAAAAGACCAGGGCTGGACTGTTTCCTAATAGGCAAAGTACACATTGGCAACTTTATTACACGCACAAATATAAAAACATCCAGTTCAAAATACAACAAAAGTTTGTAGAAGACTGGTAATTTTTCACCACAAAGTAGCCCAATGTCTGTTCTAAAGACTAAGATAAAATGATCAATATCATAAAACCTTGGGAAACAGAACAGATTTCTAGGAAAACTTGAATATAGTATTAAAACTCTCTGAGTATCACTTTCCAAGAACTAAAAATAAAATGCAATTATTTTTACATCCTAAGGAATTAATAACGTCACGGCATAGTTGAAATTAAATCTTAAAAACAGACGTGAACTTAATGAAACACGTCTTTGAAAACAAGTATCGATATTTTCAAGATGTCAAGCAAAACACCCCCCTGCAGTCTTCCACTTGGATAGGAATTTATTCCATTTATCTTTGATAACTTAGCTATTATTTTTAAAGGCTTCGAGCCATCCTTTTGGTCAATTTGCGATATCATATTTACGGACCGCTGAACAATATTATTTCATTGAATTTGAGAGGCAAAATGAATTTAAAAACTGTTGTTTTTAAAAGAGTTCATTTTCCTGTTTTCTACTTTTACGGATAAATAGGCCTAATAAAAAATATAACTGTTACAAATACATTAAGTCCATTTCAACGATTAAATTTTGTTTTCACCTCACTACGGTGTTTTAGCCGTTTTACAAACGTTTATTGGAGGCCGAAAGCTACGTATTGATGTCTTTGCCAGCTGTCATCGTCATTTGGGGAAAGAGCATGTTTTTACATCCCTAGGGCCAAAAATCAGCTGCCCGATTACTTTCTTAAAACAATAATGCATATTAAATACACAATCAGTATCCATAGCATTGCAATATAATTATTTTATTGTCACCGCTGCCTAGCAACTATTTATTAATATTTTTGCTGATTCCTCAAAATTATTTCTTCACATAAACTTAAAGTTGTAGTTGTGTTGACTATAAGTGTGCATTATTATTGTGGTGAATAGTGGTACCTAATAGGGTATAGTGTGGTGAAAAATAACGTTCGTACCACGGACCGAAATGGTTTTGCAGCTCTCGATCGTTTTAGGTTCTCGAACCGGCAGAACCTCATTTTCGGCCCTAGGTACGAAATAAACTATTTTATGACGCCAAGATGTGCTAACTGTCTTATTTTAAATTTCGATATACACTAAAAATCTGATTGATCCGTAATTCTTTTTGTCTATGGTAAGACCATTACTCCTATTTTTACACCAACTCATGCTTTCAATAATACCTAAAATAAATAATATGCAAATGAGTTGGAAATATCCATGTATCAATAGCTGTAAATCAAACTTACAAATCTTTTTCTTTAAATATTATTTTACAAACAATTGCCAAGTTAATTTTTTGAAGACTCACTAATTAAGAAGTACGTCTTGACTATTAACTTCGGCTTTCCCAAAGTAGAACCACTACTACTCTCACCCATACATATTCCTATTCTCAGGGTATAAAGTAATAGGGGCAATATACAACAGTAGTATAAAGATACGTATCTACCACATAATTGAACCACCTGAAGCTGGTCAGTTCGGTGGTCAAGGCACGTGACTTGGGACCACGAGCTGCCCGAGCTTCCGTCACGACTAAGGGTTTGCCAGTTGATGATTGACCACCGCACGGTTGGAACCCTTCTTGGGTCAAAAGTTTGAGGATCGATCCACTATTTTGGTGAGAAGCACTAATTAAAAGTAATATAATTGTATTATGAAGTTTGTAATTGTGTAAGATATTTTTTACTTTGTACCTTTAGCCATATTCCCTTTCAAAAGTGGTAGTTAGACATAGGTAACTTGAGATTCAGGGTATCCATATAAAACGCGGTTTTATGTGTTTAAAAAATAAATTGGCGAATTGAACACGTTGTGGAACATTTGAACACGAGCTTTACTAATTAGAGCTAATTTATATTAAATATACTTTATTTTATAATTAGTAGCAGATTCATTCAAGCCTTGTTTATACAGTTAAATGTAACTCGGGTACCAATTTAGCGACCAAATCAAAGATTTTAAGTGCTCACTTTTTGTGTGCTTGTGTGATTCTTTTTCAATTTAATTTATAAATATTTTACTGTCGTAACAAAGCCAAATTTATGCCCGCAATCAATACCAACGCATCCATTTCTGTTTTGAGTCGAACATGACCTAAGGGCGACTGTTAACTATATGACTCATGGTCTAGCTCCAGCACCAAGCTGTTGTGTATATCCCCTTTGAAAGGTTAATTGATTAATTAAACTCGTGCACTCTACTTTGTGACAGACCAAGGAATTACCAAGAAAGGTTGTAACAACCTTGAGTGTACGACAGCCACTAGCTACCAGACGTGGGCTAACAGCTGACTGTAGGCGGAGACAACAAACTACTAGGTAACCTTCAGTATAGTGCACGCTATACAGGAAAAATTATGGCTCAGGTAAAGTACATTTTATTTTTTCTTTAAGTCCCTAGTTCAGTATGTCCAGTTTTACTATGGAAAGGTGTATGAAATGTCAAAAGTTTTAAGTCTCATGAAATATGCCTAGATGACCCAAAAAACACGTTTTTTCATCCCTTATTGGTTGTTTTATGATTTCGTATGCAAGACTTGTTTACTGTTTATTTATTGATTTCCTTTGTAGAATTGAGTTGAGTTTTTTTCAGTAAAATTGAATAACGAGCTGGGACGGTATAATTTACGTTTCTACAACCTGTAATTTTTTACATCATTAAAGAAAATGTTAGATGAACCATTGAAACAAACACATATGTATGCTCCATGCTAATAAGAAAGTTTACTATGAATTAGAAACATTTGTTGACAAGATGGTTTCAAAGACCACTGAAGAGCTACCTCATTGACGCTTAAACAATCTTAAACCTTTTTATTTATGGTTTATTAAGTATTAAATATGAGTGTTAACATGAACCTTTCTGGTTTGATACGAACCTTGTAAAATGTGAAAGAATTATTAAATAGTTTTGTAATAGAACATTCATTTGACTTGGTTTTGAGGATGTTTCAAATTCTAATTTTAGCATAACAGAGTCTCTTATCCGTTTGTACTTTTTTTCTGACAACCAAATTTACCACTCAATGTCACAAAGGGCGGATGAAATGTTTCTAAATTCAATGATAGAGTAAAATATTTATTATAACGGATTATCTCATCAGTAGTTAC